AAACGCAGAGATATCTGGACATTAAGTTGAGAGCTGAAATTGTTAATGCTTCCTTAATCACAGTCTAAAACATGCAACATATATTTGCAGTGTTGTCTAAAAGTGAACCCTGCCGAAATTTCTAAAACTACGGAAATTGGATAGATTTTCACTCTTGGATATTACAAATAATTTTGGAATATGTGTTTTACTGCTTTTTTGAATCTATGTATGTCTTTTATCAATTTTTTCGACAGAGTACCTGAGATTCTTGATCAAATTATTCAAACATACCACTAAAAATCCAAAGTTTCCAGTCTCTTTTTTGATTATATATTCATTCATCTTCATTTTCATTGATAATAGACTTGCAAGTTTGAAAAATATGCATTTTGAATTGACGTTTCGTTACGAATGGCAGCTTTTCCAAAAATTTCCGGAAATATTTATAAAATTTTAAGAAATTTAAGTTATCAACTGTATTTAATGAAAAGTGAATTTAATTTTGATTCAAGCTACCTAGTCCCAGTTCCTGGGATCGAACGATTTATGTGTTATGTTCCTCATTTTGAAATAGCTTTATGTCTTAATACGAAACTTGCTCTGTTCAAGTTCGTTAAGAAGTTACGGCCCAGTTTATTAAATATCAGATATGGGTTATCGCCAGAGGATATTCCCAAAATAATTCCAAGCTTCGCCCAAATTTAACTTCTAAGAAATCTCGGTTTCTCATAGGTTTATTAAAATTAGAGAATTGTATATTTAATATACTAGCACTGACTTTTGTTCAATATACAATTTGTTTCGTTCAATATACAATTATAATGACTGTAGGATATTTAAAACACTTGAATTTGTCGTAGGAAATTTTATGTAGGATATTTGAAACACTTGAAACCGTCTACGAGTGTTTGGATGAACACATGTTTGTGGTGGGGTAATGTTTAGATTTATCTTCTACATTTAATTCACTATCCTTTGAATTTATACTTGATAAATGCTACAATGTAGGTTTCAGATGCGTTTTTGTGAATTGGTTACGTAGTTTCCTTGAAGAAAGAACAATGGCAGACATAATAGGCGAGAGTTATTCTCAGAGGCATGATAGCGCTCTTGGGGTGCCGCAAGGCACTGTACTCGGAGCTCCTCTATTCATATTATTTATGAACGATCTGCCTGCGAAGTTGTCCTGATTTTTGGTGACACTATTTGCCGATGACGAATGGTCATTTTGTATGCATTATACTTAGTTGTAATTATTATATCAATTGAATTTGTAATTTTACAATGTAAGGAATGTTTCTCAATAAATTTTATTCTTATTACTATTTGATTTACACATTTATTTCAGTTTTATTAATAGAAGTGTGCATCAAATTCAAATGTTTGAATTATCCTATAATTATTATAAAGGATGTGCACCTAGTAAATGCAAATACTATAATTGTAATGTTTTAATCAAATAACGAACAACTTATATCAATTGATATATCGCAAGCACTTCCATTTCAAAAAATTCGAATGAAAATGAGTAACTTCAGTTTTCCTTCATCTACAGAAATACCTACATTTCGGCCACTAATCAATAACAGACTTCAATTTAAGCTGGAAAATTAATCAAATTTGATAATAGCTTACATGAAATAGCTTTACTTTTTCAGTTTCTCATCTGCAAAAATTTTTTCATGACGTTTTCAAACTTAATTTTTTTTGCAGGAGAAACTTCGTGTTTCGAATGAAATTTTTGTGAAACCAAATCAAGTGTTTTTATTCAATGTATTGAACAATTTTGATTGAATTCAACCAAGTATTTTCATCTTACAATACATTTAGGAACTTTTTTTGCTGCCCGAAAGTTGACGAACTCTCCTCATTCGCAAATACCAAAAGAGCAGGAGTGCACTTGAATGGGTCCTCAAGTATTTTGTAAATTAACATTACTAAGTGCTTGATTTTTCTACGAAGGTCTACGCACTCATAACAGCCAGATTTGGTATCTATATAATTTATGCATTTCGAATGTGCTTAAATCGATTGAAATTCAGATCGATAATCCGCTCGTTTACTTTTCAAAACCAGTCGTTACAATTTCTTATACCGATCGGAAAAACACTGCTTGTTGTGTTACATTTCAGAGGGATAAACGAAGATGAAATAATAGAATACAACCTGTTCGGTAGCTCGATATACTCAGGTTCAAGGCAATTCGTTGCCATTTTGTATCTAGGATGCACAAAATCAAATAAAGGGTGGAAATATGTCCTAAAATCGGAACTTATCACTATAGATAGATTCGGTGATTTCTTCATCAACTCCTTGGAATTGTCGTTAGTTGCCGGTCCTTGTTCACTCTTTTGTTAAGATGTTCTGCTTCTTTTTGCCGCCTCCCCACCACGAGCTTATAAGAACGGAGTTTGGAGAATTAAAACGCATTTGCTTTTAAGTGCCCTTTGATAACTAACATCTTTTCAAATACATAAATATTTTTGTTTCCAGTGTACCAGTGTGTCTGAAAGGATAAATAAACATTATTAGAGAATTTTCGAACTGATATGTAAGGTAAGTAATTTAACTTTTTAAAAATGTTTTCGAAAAAATTAATATAAAATTTCAATTTCGTACAATTTTTTCGAATTGGTTTTTTATGTAAATATTTTGTGTAAAAAATTTTTCTTTCCGATTTTTCACGTTTTCAGACTGAATTGTCATTTAAAGATATAAATTGTCAATGGAATAAACAATAAAAATTCAAATCAAACTCTTGGTTCAATGTTTCACAATCATTTGTGAAACAAGTTTGGTTAAAATTTTCATTTAATAATGTTTCACCGAATTCAAATCTCAATGAATTGAATAATCGTTTTATTTTATAAACAATTCAGTCCACCATTCATTCACGGAAATGAATGATTATAAAATGGAAATTACTTGAGTCCAATCATAGAACCTTGTGGTAGTCACTAAGATATTGAAAAGTGGTTTAAAAATACTCAAACATGAAGCAGGGTTGCAATATTAACGTACGCACGGTGTACTTTTTTCACAGAAATTGTAATTTATTTTTGAATAGAACATTAAATGAAAAACTGAATATGATATGTACTCGTGAAATAATTAAAATTTATATCAATATATGCCGACTTATTATTCGATTTTTTCAGCGTAGCATTTAATGAAACTCCGATTTAATTCTTCATTAAAACTTCTTTCGTATCCACTGCTAGTATATTTTATGACGAAATACATAACAAAATTGTTGCAGTCACTGCTGGAATTTCGGATGAAGGTAGAAAAAAGGCAAATTTAACGAAATTTTTTAATTAATGAGTATCAGCCTAAATTCCTTGTTTAGAAAAAACCATTTGAGGAAAATGTTTTCAATGGTTTCGTTGTATATCACAATATACATATATTGTCAAAACTAATAAATAATTGAATTTTATGAATTACTATAGATATCAAAACGTCAAACTTATTTTAAAAAAAAAACAAATTTGTTTTTTTGTATTTTAACATATTCACTTTTAGTATCAGAGGAATATTTCTGGCTTAGCATTCGCTTAGGAAGTTTAAGTCTTCTTCACCATGAGGAAACCTCTGAAAAACTCATGGTAAGCCAGGTGATTCTTGTAAGTGTGATTTATATAACCAAATATATATATATATATATATATATATATATATATATATATATATATATATATATATATATTACATATAGTTGAGTTTTACACTTATCCAGAATATGTATATTGATTAGTTTATGTGTGTGAAATTTATGGTAGATCTGGAAGGAATGAGTTTTGAGATGTGATGTTTGGTGTTCTTTCATTTACTGTGTTTCCAAATTTTTACGAATGTGTAACATTTCTAAAATTTTCCTACATTTTTCGTCTTTTTCAGTTGCTCAAATCTTTGTTTTGTTATATTATAATCAAAATCATGTTTTTCAGTCATTTTATGTTTATTTAAGGCAGTTATTTGAGTTTTTGCGTATTTATGCATTTTTATATAATTTTACCATATTATGATATTACCAATTATGTGAATTCAATGCCTTTATAGGTAATACTTTTTTATTATCTATTATTTTAATTATTTTTCCGAAAGCGTTTTTCACATACAATTATCTTTCATAGTTTCATAACTGAAATACATTCTACTAATATAGGCTTATAATAGAAATTATTCATACACTTCTTTTCTAAGAGGTAAATAAGAAGTTTGAACAACTTGAATATTTTATTGAAATATATGTAAGCTATAATCTAATTATCACCTTAAGATTCAAACAATTAGAATAATAAAACATACAACACTTACCTATCTTTAGGTAGTAACGAAAATCGCAAACGATATTATAACAGATATTCTAGTTCAATATTGCATAGGTTGGAAGGACTATGGATTGGTAGTATCTAATAATTGTTTGATAGTGCTCTTAATTCGGTTGAGACGATCTAGTTTATTTCAATTGTATTGGTAAAACGCATTTGAAATTATTAGAATACAGTTTATTGTTATCAATAAAAACATTAACATGTACATATGTCTGAATTTACTAAATCTTATTAATTATTATTTGTATACTGTATATTTGGGAACATTCGGTTGCATTTGATGGAAAATCTAGAGTGTAAAAAAATGTGCTGTTATTCCCAAAAATTTTTAAATTCGTTCATTTACATATTAAAATCTTATTTTTATAATTGGATGTTAAATCAACTTAATTACAAGTAAAATCTGAATTTTCAAAGGCTTCATTAAATTGCTTGCTCACAATGTTCCTTCAATGCTCTGGTTCTTTCAGCTGGATCTTTTCTTTGAATATGGACTGTTTTTGATAAGTAGCAGGGTAAATTAGGAAAAATACTTGGCACTGCATTTAAATTTAGTTTAACTTTAGCGGGTATTGCCTTTGACAACCTGTCTCGCAGGCGATAAATACTTTCTGTAATAAGAGCACCCTCTGGGAAATGCTTGGTCCAAACTACACAATATTTTGTGAGGGTTAAATGCCGGTCTTCGTGGCTTAGGCGGGAGAACACCCGACTATGGTGCTAGGTATGGTAGAACTCGGGTTCGAGCCCCGGTGAAGGAACACCATAGACCTACACCTAGTAGGTGTTGGTCTATGATTTGAGTATAAATGATGATGACTGTTGAGTTATGTACGCGCATTGACTACAAGCCCATTGGCCTTTTGGAACCGCCGTTAAACTGTAGGTCCACTGTACTGAAAAAAAAAAAACTTTCATTGAACACTATATGGCTGGTTACGTGTTCACATTAACCTTCATCGAGTCTAAATGATAATTCAAACTAGAGACTCAAACAAGTTTCGTGCAAGTTTCACCCTTCAGGGCCATAAATAAGTATATAACTTCCGAAACAATTATCAAGCAATCTCGGGTGGAACTAAGACCGTATTTTTCATTCAATTCATTCTAAACCCTGTTTCACCAAGAGATGAGCAAGTCATCAAACAACTTCATCAATCAAAATTTAAAATCATTTTAAATTTAAATTCAAGTCAGTTATAAATAATTTTTGTTTGATTCAGCTAAAAGTCTCCAATTATAGGATTCGAATAAATTAATCGGCTTCATTCCAGTATGATATTAATATGAAAATAATAATAATTTATCCCCATTGCTGAAGTCTAAAAAGCACTACTACATACATCCAATTCGTATTACAGGAACTTCGTTATCCAATGTGATTGAGTTTTCGTGAAAAGTTTGAATGATTTTTGTTTTTGATATCAGAACACACGTTATAATTAATGGACATAAAAGTTAATAGAGGTAGCAGAATAATATACCATTCGGAATATGTTGAGTCAAAATGCGATATTATGAATATATTATATTGACCGCCACAGTCCTGTCTTTTAGATAGGAAGGTGTTCATAAATTGATTCCTTTGTTTTGGTGTTTGTCTCGATAAAAGAGAATCGTAGAGACCAATTCAATTCAGATAAAATAGATTTGTATTATAATGGCATCAATACCGGTTCTTCTGGCGATAAGTTGGAAGAATAAACAACAAGATCGCCGCGGAAAAAATTGACATTTTCTTGAGGACATGGCGGCAGTAATCTGTTAATCTATACAGGGAGAGGCCTTGTTTAATTTCGATTATTTCAATGTTTCGTATCATTCTGTTCATTTTCAAGATCAGTTGGATTCTCAGCTATGCAGTCGATATATCTTGAGTAATCCTTTGTCAGGTAGATCCATTAACGATTTATCACTGTCTATCAAACAACTGCATGTTTCATTAAAACTGAATTGTGAAGTATTTTATCACAAAATTCATATTGGAAATTATCAAATAGATGAACTTAGTATATAGTATGAAACAAGGTTACTTCCTCTGTCTCTATAACCCTATGCATGCTTAAATCTTTAAAACTACGCCACCGATTTTGATGCGGTTTTTTTAAATATATAGAGTGAGTGAAGAGGAAGGTTTATATGTATAATAACATCCATTAATTAGTAGAGAAATACTGTTATTTTTGAGGTTTCTAATGTTAAGTCGTAAATAATTACATTTTTTCCGCTTACATTGCAAACGCAGGCTGAATCCTACGAAATTTATCAAAATAATGTACTAAGTACTATACACATTGAAAAGGTCTACAGAAACAACGGGTCTCCGCTATGGTATATGCCTACCTCTTATGGATATCCCACAATAACATTTTTTTGTCATTTACTTTTTACGACAAATAATGGCTAATTTTCGAAGCGATTTTAACCAATACAGCATTTTATATTTTTATGAAAAATTTATTCAAGCATATGTGTGTATATAAGAAAATGATATAATAAAATATATATAATATAAGAAAAATTCATATTATTAGCAAATAACAGACTTTACAAATGGAGAAATTGTTTCTGCTTTATATTTCATTAAAAATTCTTCAATTTTAATATAGTTTTCAGTAAATGACAGAAATAGAACAATCGCCATAATTTGGCAATACAGATTTTTTATTTAAGTATATGTCAGAGGAAAATAGGTACTTGTCCAGCATTCGCTTTGAAAGTTTTTTATACTCTTCTTCATGAGAAAACTTCTGAAAATTTATGGCTAGTTTGAAATGCATTACTTTAAATGAATTGTAAATTTGATTTAAGTTGTACCTGCACAAACGTAACCTGCACATTTATCATCGCCAAGAAATCACGAATGATAAATGTGCAGGTTGATAATATATATTTCTGTAAACGGAGAAGCCATTATTTAAGATGAACATATCAAATACTTGGGTACCATTTTGGATTCGAATTTACACTTTCACACACACGCAGATTATATAACGAGAAAATTTTCGAAAAAAGTAGGATTCTTATCACGAATCGGAAAATCTTTGTCTATGAGTACCAAGTTGTCACTCTGTAAACCCATTGCACTTCCTCATTTACAATTCTGTTGTCCCTTATTGTTCTCAATATCAAATAAGTCGATTAGAAAAAATACAAAATAGGGCTATGAGATCTATATTAAAGTGTAATAGATATACACCTGTCAAATCCATGCTGAATGTGTTAAATATGTTATCTGTCAGCCAAAGAGTTGTGTTTAATGTACAAGTGTTCATTATTAAACTGAAAAGAAATATGTTACCAACCTACATTAGTGATAGAGTTCGATTATTCAAAGATGTACATAATTATAATACGAGATTCAAAACAGACTTTATTTTTGGAAAATGTAACACTACACAAAGCAAAAATCTATTTTGTATAAAGGTTTAATTGAATTTAATGGACTTCCTGCACATATAAAAAACTGCGAAAGTTCAAAACTGTTCAAAAGACTTTTGAGAACGTTCATCCCAACCAAATGCAATACAGTTTAAACTCGCTCTAATTCAATTGGGTTTAGTTTCTGCTAGTACTCTAATTGATGTTTATCATGTAATATTAGTTAGGTGCTAAGTAAAACGTTTTTGTTTTTCTACTATAATATGTTATTTACATATATTGATACTTTACTTAATTCCCAGTATTTTACTTTTCATTATTTCAATTTTTAATCAACTTGTTATTACTATATTTTGTAACATGATGTAGCAATTCTGCTAAATAAACACATTATTATTATTGCGCAAAGTAAGTGCAAATTTGATTTAATGGTCGTTGATCTCTTAGTGAAACACTGTTTACTATATTGAATAAAAAACAATAGGATTAGTTTCACAAAATTTCATTAATTGATCACCAATCTTTTCAGGATGTTACCCCATTTTCAAAAGCAAAAATGAAGTAAAACCCCGAAACAAATAAGCCCTTGATATAACATAATAGAACTAAGCGATGTGTTTTTTATTCAATGAATTCATTGGTATCATTGTTTGTTGATTGTGGTATTATTTTGAGTAGTCATATTCAATTAAAACATATAATTTTCTATGAATTGAACTTATTCGTTTTATAACTATCGAATATATTTTAATATAAAAGTAGAAACTTTTGAAACAAATTTCGGAATTGTCTCAAATTACCATTGATTTTTCAATATTTGCATTCATATTTTGCAATTCTAATTTTCATTCGTAATAATGCCATGCTGTTCTCTCTCAATCATTCATAATATCCTCTTACAATAGCACGAATACATTCGAAATCATAACAAGTTTTGGCCAATAAAACAAAATACATTAATGATTTTCGGAATTGCCTCAACTAATTGTTTGAAAATCAAACAATATTGAAAAATATTACATAGAAAAGCAGGAAAAAAATGCTTTTAAATAAGATGATGAAAAACAATAGTTACAAAATAAGCATAAAAAATTGAAGAATTTGAAAAACAACGAAAGAAACGAAAGAAAAAAGAAAAGAATGAATATTGAACATTCACATATATTATCTGAGGAAAATGAAGTGAAAGAATAAGTTTTCAAATAATCAGTTGGAATGGCTTACTGGATTCAATTTGGAAAATAGAATTGAAATTATCAATTGAGAAAAACTTGAAGCCTGAGAAAATTATATTAAATCGAAGTGATAATATAATGAAAATTAATAGCTAAAACTATGAGCCTAGAAACTAGAAGAAGAGAATCTTCTTTTATCAGTATTTTAATTGTAATTTTATATTTTTCGTTATCATTTTTTTCATATACAAAATATATAGGCAACGGAAATCCGATAAAAATGTATTGACGAAAATTGAAAGAAAACAACATATAATCAACTGACTAATAGAAATTAGTTATAAATAATTTTAAACCTGTTATTTGAATTAATTTTCACACAATAACATCTCAAACTGAATAACAAACATTTACGGCGTGGCAGGCACTTTTTAATCATACATCCCCAAACAAATCAACCTTGCCAAACCTTTTACGGTTTTCCATATTATCAATTATAGTCAACTGATGATGATTCAGTTCTCGAACAAATAAAGGCCGTGCACCTTATCCCATTGTTTATCGATTAGAGTCGCCCAAGACCTCACATTTCAATGTCTGATGTGTCAAAGTAAACGAAAAGACTGACCGGAATGATAATCACAAACCACTAAAATATCTTGGTCACTAGAACTCACGTATGATGAAAACTTCAACTCCGACTTAGTTACCTAATGTTCCTAATAGAATTGTTTTCCTCTTCGTTATAGAAGGAGATTATTGTGAGACTCTAGACTTCATACGTTAACCTCATCAAAATTGCATCTGATGAATATCAAGTGAGTTAAAATCCTTCAGGATGGGCCGTTGCAGATTGGTAAGTGATTTTTGATTAATAGTTTGTTGGGCTTAATTGTTTGCTGACGGTGCAGCTTTGGTTTGATGGCCGTTCACAAAGAATGTCCTGATGAATGTTTTGCATTTATCAGAGGATTTAAACAGGGTGTTATTATCCTCTGAGAGGATTCGTTGGGTTGTTATGACTAGCGAATCCACATTTTGATGGACGTTTCTAATTGCGGTTTTGCCAGTCATTTAACGTCCAATTATCGGAGGGATTAAACGAAGATGCAATTTTAGTTTTGGGTGCAATGATTGTTATTTTAATTTTAATTTTTCTCGTGCGAAATGTTCATTGATTTTCATTTTATTTTCGTAAAAGATGCAT